GAAACATTTTATAGAAAGTATTACAAATATCAAATAACAATTATTCCAAAAGAGGCGGAAAAGTATTCAATGATTTCAAATTTTAAATTTTAAATTTGTAAAGAAATAGGAAACTTTCTATAAAAAAACTTTCTAAATATATCATTGCTGTTGTTTGAATTTAAGAGGAATAGCTAATTGACATATATGGAAGTGATAAGAATTAAATTTATGCATATGTTTCATTTAAAAAAAAAAAAGCGGATAGATGAAAATTGTTAAAAAGATATCAATCAATCAAATGCGTCTTCTTGTAGAAGAATACTTTCACTAAAAAATGAAACAGATAAATAGAATAGGTCTGTTAAATACGTTATATCAGTTTCACTTGGCTTCTTATCAATTATCTTCTTATCAAACTGATAAAGCAGTAAAAATGATTAGTGTAGAATACGAATAATATTTATGTGCGCATAGATAAATTATCGAACTGACCAAGCGATAGGAAATGTTATTAGCATAGAAATCTATGAGTGATAACATTTAAATGTATTACAATTGAAGATTTTGAATTCCATCGAGCATAACCTTCGAAATGAACATTTAAGAATATTTTGAAAATTCAAGGAAAAGAAAAAATATCTGGTCATATCACTTGAAAAAAAAAAAAGCACTTAGATTTTATCGGAATTGATTAAATTGAATTAAAAAATTAAATTACAACCAAAAATCTGATTAAAGACATTTAAGTAATTGAATAATCGAAAGATATATTAAAGTGGTGGGTAAACAACCAAAACAAATCACATCAGTTTGTTTCTTTTTTTTTCTTTGGAACAAATGACACACAGATGACAGAGTTGAGATTAAAAAAAAAAGTTTGGGGAAAAAAGATAAGAATGTTGAGGAAATGAAATGAAATAATTTTAAATAAAAAAAAGAAGTTACGAACAAACAGGAAAGTAACCAAGTCTTACACAGGTATGTGTGTATGTGTATGTGTGTGTATGTAAACTGTGTATATATATATATATATGTATGCATGTGTGTATGTACGCATGTGTAAATTAGTACATTCAATTATTATCATCATTTATTTGTCTGTCCGTGTATTTGACAAAGAGAGGTCATAAAAAATAACAGGTTAGACAGACGATAGGGCAAATTGATTTAGTAAGCAGGTGCGAAATCAAAAATTAAATCGATTTTGATGCTATCGTGATGACAATTATTAGCGAAATGATGATGACAGTTGAAATTTAGGTGACAGTTGAAATTTAGAGGGAGTGATAGAAAAAAAAGAGATGAAAGTAAAACTTCAAAAAGCATACAATGTTGTGATTGAAGGAAATAACAGATTATATTCATAATAATATTATCAATAATAATAAATGATGATGATGATAACATTAATGGTAATAGATAATGTAATGATAGTGAATGTCAATATTAATAGAAAATGATAATGGTAGTAAAAGTGTTCAAAAAAAGTAATAATAATAATAATAATAACAATAATGACAATAATTAAAATAATTAATAATGATAATAGCATTTATGATAACTAATACTGTCAATGGATCAAATGATAATAAAGAATATTTCGACAAAAAAAAAAAAAAAAAGTGGACCATAATAATCCGTTATCACTGTGTTGCATTTATTGGTTACGCATATGAAAATAACAATTGACTATATTATTAAGATGGTAATTATCATTACTATGCTTACTATTTATCATATTATCAAACTATCATTATCACTAATCGTATAATGATATCGCTATTATTATCATTAATTAGTTTTGTGTTAACAATTTTCATTTCAAAAATAATTTGATTTAAATAAAGAAAAAAAAAGATGAAACTATTTTGCATAATTATTTATGGTATGCATATAATTCGACTGATAAAATTGGAAAATTTTTTGGAATTCATGCCCAATTCTAAATAATTTATTAAAGGGAATCACTGAAAAAACTTCTCCAATCATAATTCACTTTATGACGATTATCATTATTATTTACTATTATCATTGTTGCAATAATAATGATTATAATGCTAATTATCACGATTATCATTATAACTATACTCGCTTATTTATAATTCAAACAATTATAGTCTATCATTTACACCATTCGTATTGCTATTTTATCGTCATTGCATTGATATGAATAAGTGTCAATATGATTTGACATTCAATTTAAAAAAAGAAGAAAATGATATTTTACGAGAATTTTTCGTTTTTCTTTTTTGCTTTTTTTTAAAAAAAAGTAGGAAAGAAATAATATTTTGCTGTCGTCTATCCCATCAATTTTTTCTTTTCTACTGAATCAGCAAAATTCGTTAGGAAATAAGAATAAAAATGATCCATCAACGGGTAGTTATCATTGATTCATTCATTTATTATCATAACATTTTCCGGAAGGAAACAAAAAACCTTTTTAATATTTTTATTCTAATTCTTCAATTATTTTATTATCAGTTTTCAAAATAATTTCAATAATAATAGTAATTAATATTATAACAGTAATAATTATAATTATCGTAATTCTATTTATATATTATTTCAAAAAGAAAAATAATTTTTAAAATGAAACTTTAGATGGAAATCTTTTGTAAATGATTACTAATTTATTGTTAATCATTCATTAAATGTTAAATGTAATTATTACAACATTTTTCTTATTCTTTTGATAAAAATATCATTTAATAAATTTGCAAATTTTTTTATTGATGCATTCATGCTAAAACAAAATTTTATGTGCCTTCTTTTTCTTTTTTTACTTCTTCTCTTCTTTTTCCATTGTTTTTCGTTTTCGTTCTTTTCACTTAAATTATTTCGGCCTATTCCCTTTCTCCTGAATTATTGTTTTATTATCCAATTCATTTATCAAGATTAAAATCTGAATTTAAGTATTTTTTTAACTAATAAATTACTTTTAATTTTAAATGATTGTTTTTAAATTACCTTTATTTTAAAATAAACAATTCTTTCTTCTTTTTTGCATATAACAATAATTGATGTGATAGATCATTCATTCAATGTAATGTACATACTTCCTATCTGTTATTAATGTTAGATAGGTTATAAATATTTTCTTGTTAGAAGTAAACTATTTAATAGACAAATATATCTTGCAAATATTAGCATATCTTTATGAGAAAATTGGGAAGGAAAAAAAAGTAATTAAAAGATTTAATTACGAAAGCTTTTTATTCATTATCTTATTATTGCATTTGTTAAATTTCTTTCACAAAACAAAAAAGTATTACCAAAAGTTAAAGCATAATATTTCTAATTATTTATTGCTTTCTTATCTTTAATCTGGCATTACTGATATTAATTTAGTTAAATACAAATAATCAATAAATTAAATATAAAAAAAAGATACGTATATATATATATATATATA